TTTTTTTTTTTTTTCCCAGTTTGAGATTTATATTTTCGTTGCAGCGCCGCACACGTTGTTTAAAAATTAAACACATTTTATTTAATTCTTATCACAATTGAATATCTAACATTTTAACATTTTACCTTCTGCTTCCACGATATTTTATTATTCTTATCAGTGAGTATTTATACATGAGTTTTAATTTTTTTTTTTTTTTAACTTTTAAATATATATAAATATGGCAAACGTTAGTGTCGGTTGTTGTTGTTGTAAAAATTTTTTTTTTTTCGATAAACTTTAGTAAAAACAAAAAATTTTCATATTAATAACAAACGAAAACAAACAACAACAACAACAACAACAATTTTCTTTGACCCCTTCAACGATAAATAACAAGAATAACGAGGATATCACGATTTAATTAGAAATTTTATATACAGAAAAAAAAAATTTTTTTTTTACTGATAACGTCATATATCATATCGAGTTCATTGTCAAGTTCAAGGTCATTTCATAATTGACTTCACGCGAATGAAAGGTGGGAACGTTAGTATAAAATAAAAATTATCATTATTATTATCATATACTTATAGAATATTTTTTTAAAAACGTGACGTCATTACTTATGTATAAATAACAGAAAAAGCGTGAAAACTTAAAATTATTAAAAATTCTTTCGAGACGTTTCGATAAGTTTAAAATGAGGAAGGAAATGAATAGTACGTGCGTGTGCGTGTGCGTGCACCCTCCTCCATCTCACGTTTCCTTTTCTTCCGCTTTTACTTTTCTTTTAATTTTCAAATCAAATTTTATACGTAACGTCATCATCATGTCTGCGACGTGTATTACGAAAAACAATTTCCGCGCGTGTGTGTGTGCGTGTGCGTTTTCATTAAATTTTTTTCTTTTTTCTTCTTATTTTCTTCTTAAAATTTATAAATTGATTATTTGAAAAAAAAAAAAAAACGTAACGAATCGATATCGGCCGCCATATTTGAATTTTTCCAATTTTCCCGTAATAAAAATTTGTGCGTGTGTAAAAAAAATTTTTTTTTTTTATTCACATTAAATAATATTTAATCACCTAATTACGGTAAATGGGGGCGAGGAGGAGGGGAGTGGAGAAAAGAAACCTATTTGAAATTTTAAAAAATATAATAATAAATAACAGTCGGTTACCGAATAATTTAATAGGGTTAATTTATGATTAAATATTTTCGACCCCGAAAAAAAAGAGCGTAAA